TTAGTGAGAATACTAAATACTAGGGAGAAGTGGGTCTATTCCATCTTGATCCAGAACCAGAAACCTGACAAAGGGCTTTTAAATGGCCATTTCTCCTCTAATAACATAAATCTGATCATGTCTCAACTCTCCTTAAAAACCTCTTCTTTGGGGCACCTGGGTAGCTCAGTTCGTTAAGCATCTGACTCTCGATTTCAGCTCAGGTCATGATCTCAGGGTCGTGAGAGCAGGCCCTGCATCAGGCTCTGCACTGAGCTTGGATCCTCCTTAGGATTCTCTCTCTCCCTTTCCCTCTTCCCCCCACCTCAAAAACAAACAAACATAAAACCTCCTTGTCATATCCTGTCCAAAGGATAAAATCCCAAGCCCTTAACATGGACTTTTTAAGGCTCTTTCGGTATCTTAAAACCAGTAATAAGAGTCCTATGTCTGCAACTCTACACTTAGAGCATGCATTTTCCAGCTACATGGATTTCACATGCACCACTTCTTAAATATACCTTGCTTTGTCAGGCTCCTTGTTGAGCACACACTAGGGCGTGTGCACTCCGCTGCTCCCGTCTCCTCCTCTCTACTTGGCAGGCACCGAGCTATATACTTCAGTTCTGCTTCTTATATTACCTACTGTGAAGCCTTTCAAGACTTTCCCAGTTATCTGATCCCTTCTCGGTGCCACCATAGCAGAATGAACATAATTCTACAAGCTATTTCTTGCTTGAATTCATTTATTCTACTGGAGCTCTTTGAGGTGGAATTATGTCCCTGTGCATCTGTCCCATTCCACTGTACATTCTTTGAGGTTCGGGCCGGCACCTGTCGTATTTCTCAATGTATCCCTAGCACCTAATGCTGTGCCTGGCATACAGTTGACACTTAACACGTGTTTATGAAATGAATAGATGAATGAATTGTTACTTTCAGATACTAGAGCAACTGAAAATTGTCCTCAGCTGGTACAACGAGGCTGCCTGAGGCTAGCGCACTTTTTTCATTACCGTATCTTCTTTTTTATTTCTGCCCAGAACCAACAAAATGACTTCAGGAGACTAATAATTTAACCACTTCCCCAATCTGCTCTCAGGTTATCCTCATAGATATTTGCTGCCATCACTGGTTGACTGTTTGAGAGCAGGGCTGCCTCCTTGCTTGGCTGATAGTGGTCTCCAAAGCCCATTCTTCAGGCCAGTATGAACCATCAGTCCTGCCTTGAACAGATTGAAGCCCTTACTTTTGACCAGTTATATCAAGACTAGGACTTTCTTTGTCTTTCATTGAAACAAAATCCTTTGGGATACATGGTCACTTTGCTTATCTATCTTTTGACTGTTGGCTGGAAGCAGTTTAGTAGCAATTCTTAGGGAAATGTCAGCATCTGACATATTTGAAATAATAATAGATTCTTTCATTTTTTTAGACACTTTACTCAACCCATACATCCATCCTTGTCAACCCCAAATTATTCAACATGTGTTATCATGATGTTTACAATAACTTCAGTGAGTAAAGTCATATATACATAGATACCCACATACAAACATTCACACACATACATGTATACACATGCAGGATATTAAGGATATACAGGTCAAACCTATTCTGCTATATTCATTGGCACTTTTTAAGGACCCTGATCTTGACCCCTATATTTTATTACCATTTATAATGGCCATTGGTGTCCATCCATTGTAGTCAGTATCTCGTGCATATATAATAATTGCTCCACTTACAAAATCTACTTAATATGGCCAAGCACTTTAAAAAAAAAAAGATTGATTGATTGATTGATTGATTTTAGAGAAAGAGAGCACGAGCAGAAGGGGCAGAGGGAGAGGGAGAAAGAATCTCCAAGCAGACTCCATGCCCAGGGCAGAGCCCAAACAGGCAGCAGGCGGTGGGGGGGCTGGATCTCACCATCCTGAGCCGAAACCAAGAGTTGGGCACTTAACCGGCTGTGTCACCCAGGCTCCCCCCGCTTTTTTAGAGAGGGTTGGGGGAGGGGCAAAGGGAGGGGGAGAGAGAGAATCTGACGCAGGCTGTACGCCTGGCACGACCTGAGCCGAAATCGAGAGTCAGGCACTTAACTGACTGAGCCACCTCACGTGCCCCTGGCCAGGCACTTTTTATATGCATTATTTTTTATTCTTATAGCTACCCTGCAAGGGCAGATGTTATTACCCACATTTTACAGACAGAGGACCTGAGATTCAGAGAAGTAGTAGTATCTGAGCCAGGATTCACTCTGCCTCAAAGCCCATGTTCTTTTCACTACAACACTCAGCATCTTAATAAAAAAGCCTAATATGAAATCGAATCTTTAAAAAGTTGAAGAATCTCTATTTCCTCTAAGATCCCAACTCCTCCCCCATTAATCGAGGGTCGGGTTCTTGATTCTGTCACAAAAAATATGCCAACCTCTGTTCAGTAAGACGGAAGTGGGAGGAGGGAGAGGTGTTCAGAGAATATTGCTTGTGTGTGTGGTGGGATTTTGGAGTTCTGTTGCCTAATGGCTTATTCTCATGGCACTTGTTCTCTAGCCTTTGGGTCCCTGGGTCCCTTGGAAAAAAATAGGGAGGACACTGTTACCATATCTAAAGGGGTCTATACAGATCACTGGCTACCCAGAAAGTCCTGTGGGTGATCAGTGAACCAGTAGGAACTAGGAACTCCTACCTAGCAGTAGGAACTGGCATTTGATAGGCAAAAAGGTCATTAACCTTCAGCTCCTGTCCCACAAGTGTCTGATACTAAAACATAGCCAGCATTTTTGACAAATGATAGGGCTATCCACAGCAAGAACTGAAGATGTTTTCCTTTAGTCTTAGATTCAGTAACTCGTCCCTTCCCTCCTTATTTCCTTTGGATACTACTGTCCACACCCTGCAGGGTCAGAGGAGTGTATATAAGGGGTGCCGGATAACAGGAAGGTGAGTCAAGAGTCAAGAGCTTGTGTAGGTGAGTGAAAGGAGTATCTGAGCCATAACATCCTCTTTGTCACTCTCCCAAGCTGCAGGAAGCAAAGAGATTGCCCAGCTCACCCCCAGGAGCAAGTAAGGAATGTTGGTAAGAGTGTTCCGGTTGCCATCCTGGCCCCTGAACAGGGATATATGGCTGGAATTCACAGGAAGTAACTGGAACAAGTCAAAGACTATGTCAGGACTGGCCCTGCTCCCAGCTGCTTGTTGGCACTCCACGAATAATTGCCATACCACCAGGAGGGCGTACTGTTAAGGTCTCTCTGAGAGTTCCAGCCCCGGACAAGCAGGGTCCCCTAAGAGGCACAAACGCAATGTCTCCAGAGGGACATGTGAAACGAGCAGTCATAGGTCTTATTCCTCGACTTCTTGCTGTCAGAAATAGACAGACAGATGTCTCACGCTACTGAAGTCTGGGTAGCCCCTCTGGAGCCCTGGAGATGGCTCCTTCCATTCCTCCAGTACTGTCCATGTCCCCCTCCCCGCTAGCACCAAGTAACATCAGTGGCTTTCTTGGTTCATTGGTATTTCAACTTTATCCTTCCCTTTAGCACCTGAGAAACAAGTAGCTGTCTTCCTGGGGATATCAGCTGATTATTCTAGTTTGTTTTCTATTCCTTCACCTGCTGACTTTTAGGCTTCCTGTCTATTGGGTGTTACTGACCCGGAACTGGTCCATCATACATTCTGGGACAGCAGGTGTCTCCTGGGATTGTCCCAAGTAAACCAGGACATAGACTCACTCTTCCCAGACGGGTTATGCCCATCTCACTGACTTGTAAGAATGAAATGAATGGACATCTCGGCACAGTGAGTGGTCGAATTGAGGATTAAGCTAGCTGCTGTTTGCTGGGCTCTTCCTTCGGCATGTGACCTCCCTGTACCGCACCTAATCCAGCCCTGGCTCCGTCCTTCCATCTCTTTCCTTCTTTCCTCTCTCCCTTTACCTCCTGTCCCCTGCTTGTTGTTGTCTTCATCTCTGCCACCAGACCTCTGCCCCCTGACTGCCCGGCGTTTACGGGGTTTCACAACTCTGCTTATCCTCCTTATGCTTGATTCCAGGCCTGGGAACAGCCAAGCCCATTATTCTGGGCCCCGACCTGTTTGGCGGAGTTGTTGCTCCATTTCTCTGACCTTGCACGGAGGCCCTGAGCACTCCTAAGAGTTAGGGGCAGGGTGGTGGTAGGGCTGAAACCAATTTGCACAGGCACGTTCCTATTTTATGTTCTATTCACAGCTTTATTCTCCAGGTGAATGCTTCTTGTCTAGCCCTGTCTAGTTCACCCTTGGGTTCATATCCAAAGATCTCACAATATCTTCTTTTTATAGGAGGAAACACCCTGGAAGTCTTCAGGCTCGAGGCCTGAGGAATACTTTTTTTTTTTTTTAAAGATTTTATTTATTTATTTGAGAGAGAGAGAATGAGAGACAGAGAGCATGAGAGGGAGGAGGGTCAGAGGGAGAAGCAGACTCCCAGCCGAGCAGGGAGCCCGATGCGGGACTCGATCCCGGGACTCCAGGATCATGACCTGAGCCGAAGGCAGTCGCTTAACTAACTGAGCCACCCAGGTGCCCCCTGAGGAATACTTTTAAGGGCACAGACTTCTGTGCTCCTTCCCTGCTGCCTGGCTGCTCACCTCCAGAAGGGAGAGCAGGATTGGCTGTAAGATTGTCCCACAAGAGTAGATGGGGGGGCCAGTCTCCCTGGGGAGGGGGAGTGGTAGAGTCCTGTCTGGCTCAATACATAGCCTGGAATCGGATTGGGACAGGAAGCCGCAGGTGGGCCTGAGAGATATGTTTGGGTCAATACTGTAATGCCCTGAAAAACCTCCTGTGCTCTGAGGGTGCACCTGCACTCAGATCAGTGTAATGGGGGGACCACCAGGTGTCATGTCAGTACTGCCCCCCCCCGCGTGCCTCAGTTTCCCGGTGTGTCTACCAGGAGCCACTCCTTCTCGGGACAGAGGGGCGCTGCAGGAACCAGCTGCGGGGCCGACGGAAGGTCGCAGAGAGCTGACAGTCTGGGCTCGCAGCTTTCGGTACCCAGGCGGGAAGTGAGCAAAAGTGCAAAGCGGGAGGAGCCCCTAGAAGCTCCGAGGGCCGCCAGTCCCTAGCGGCGAGGCCGAGCCCAAGAAAATGCAAGTGCCAGAGGTTGGCGGGTCGGTTTGCGACAGGTCCGACCCTGAGGGCCTTCAGATGCAAGGGGGCGGGGGCTCCTGGCGACTGGCCGCCGAGCCGGGGCGGGCCGGGCCGCGGGGCATTTAAACCTGGCGGACTGCCAGAGAGGGACACGCGCCCGGCTCCGCGCCCTCCGTCGGCCACCGGCTCCGCGCCCTCCGTCGGCCACCCTCTCCGCTTCGGATACGGGCCGGGCGCGATGCGGTCTTCCTTGGCTCCGGGTGTTTGCTTCCTGCTCGCCTTCTCCAGGGACAGCTGGTGAGCGGGGCTGGGGAAGGGGGGCGCTCGGGGCTCCGGAGCAGCTCCCCCCGGGCCCCGGAGCGCCGGGGGGCAGGGAGCGCCGGCGGCCGGGCCGGGGTGGGGGGTGGGGCAGCGGAGCGGGGGGGGGCGGGGACGAGCCGGGTGCCGCTGGACAGGCCGCCTCACGCGCCCCACCGAACCCGGGCTTGCATGCTGGGCAACCGGTGGGGTGGCGGAGTGTCCCTTTTGTTCCCTCCTACTCCTTGGATAAGACAGAGGCCAGAACTCAGGGGTCCTGGGACCTCACCTAGAGGGGGTCCGGGGCCCCGAGGGCCATACCTCTCAGATCAGAGCCGCAGCTGCTCGTCGGCTGAACCGTCCCCCCACCAAGGAGTGCCCGGGCTCCTGCAGTAGCCTTCCTCCTGACCATGCTGGGCTGTGCGGTGCGGTGGAGGGCTTTCAGCTCCCTCTCCATCACAGGCCACACACTGGAGCAGTTTGCTTGGTCTACACAGTGTTTTTTGAACATTGTGTTAGTTGCCATCATTTACAAACTGTAAAATTTAACGTAAATAGCCAGATCCCTGGCTTCTCTTGAAAAACAGTTTAGCAACACCAGGCCTAAATTCCCAAATTATATTACTAGGGGTTGAGGATCACCTTTAGATAGGGTGGGTGCTCCTAAGATGACCAACTTATTGGTTTTAAGACAGAAAATCCTACATACCCAACCCCCTCCGTGCTGGGCAAATTGAGATGGTTGATCGCCCACAGTGCTTGCCAATTGGTGACCGCCCTCACTCGCTTCCAGCCTTCTTCACTCATTTACATTACTTATTTGATCCTTCTTGAGTTTAGGCCTGTTAAAATGTTTTTCATTAAAAGATGAAATCATGACTCTGATAGGATATAAAAACGAACATGTGTTAAAGATTTTATTTTACTTATAATGAGAGAGGCAGAAAATGTTATGATCAGTTAAAAAGTCCAGGAAGGGGGGAAGAGGGAGTTACTTTTTAATGGGCACAGGGTTTCAGCTTGGGAAGATGGAAAGTTCTGGGGGTGGATAGTGGGGATGGTTGCACGACAACGCAAAGGTACTTCATGCCACTTCAAAATGGTAAATTTTATGTTATGTATATTTTACCACAATTAAAAAAGAATCTGAAGAACTTGCCCATTTGTAAATCAGGAATATTGAGACAAAACTGGTTTTTCCACAGGTTGGGAGGAAAGACTATTAACTTGAGACTGTCATTTCATACACATAGTTTGTATGACTTATCAGTTACCTACCACTTCAAAGAATTATAAAAGCCCAAAGTCAAGGAAAGGCTAAAATCTGATAAGTGGAGGGGTGTCCTCTAGACAATGCACAGTTTCCCAGGGAAACATTTTTTTCCCTAAAGTCTCCCCTGCTTTGATCAAAAATAGTTGCAAAGATTATTCTTGATCACAAAATAAGGCCGGTCTCATTAGATTTGATCTGATTCTGGGCGCCTGGGTGGCTCAGTTGGTTAAGCGACTGCTTTCGGCTCAGGTCATGATCCTGGAGTCCCTGGATCGAGTCCCGCATCGGGCTCCCGGCTCGGCAGGGAGCCTGCTTCTCCCTCTGACCCTCCCCCCTCTCATGTGCTCTCTCTCTCTCATTCTCTGTCTCAAATGAATAAATAAAATCTTAAAAAAAAAAAAAAGATTTGATCTGATTCTGTATATAGGTACAGCAAGAGTGTCAATCTACAGTACAGGCCTTGCTGAGTTGCTTTGCTGGAAGTTTTCATAAGAAATCTTAGATTGGACTTTTAAAAGCCTTTATTTATTATTATTTATTATTTACTGTTTTGAGATTAGGAAGCCACGACACTGGTTTTCACACTAGGTTTTATGGCTGTACCTATAAATGTGGACAAATTCCTCTTTTCTTGAAGTCCCCCAAATATCCTAATTATCCTGGGCCTGTCGGGGAATGACCTTCCTATTTGCCTATAAGGGAGCACAGTGAGCCAGTTTTCTTGGGAGGGTTTTATTAGTATTGGCTCCACGCAGTCACCTTAGTTCCTTAAAAGGGGCTGGCTATATCTGATTAAAGGATCATCAATGTCAAATATGACATTCCACATAAGGCCTTGGTTATATAATCAATTTTTCTAATTACATCCGTGTTTAAAAAAAAAAAAAAGGACAGGACACCTGGGTGGCTTTGTCGGTTGAGCATCTGACTCTTGATTTCGGCTCAGGTCTTGATCTCAGGGTCGTGAGATGGAGCCCCACACTGGGCTCCACACTGGGCATGGAGCCTACCTCAAAAACAACAACGAAAGGACAGTTTCTTATTGAACTTTTATTAATAGCCATATTGTTATGAAAAGCGGGAAGACTCAACAAAAGTTTCTGAATTTGGGGGGTGGGGCTGTCTGGTAGGGAGAATAAGATATTTGTTAAGTGTTTCGTTTTAGTTTACAAAAACAGAGTCTACTAAATCCTTATGGATTATTCACTGCTGAAGAAGAAATGGAAAGGGCTTCCTTATTTCCAGAAAACCGAACACTATAATATCAACAATACTCCAAACATAAATGACAGCCATCCCTCATCAGTTCACTTAGGCCTATGTGATTCTTATTCCCCTGAATCTTGGGTTAGCAATCTCATAAATCTGTCTGCTTCTTCACTAGAGTTCTGGAAATCCTGACTCAATGCACTGGTATGTTCTTAAAGATGTGTAAGCAATGCCATGGGAAGCCTGTCCCCAAGACTGAATGCCTGGTACAGTGCTTTTCTGAGATAGTTCTCGATTGGTAAAGATAAAACCTTTGGTCTATAGCTGATTGCAGAGCCTTTAGGAAGCATCAGAATGAAAAAACTGTAAGTGACAGAGATACTTTTCCAAAGTGAACAACCTGATGAGAATTCATGACAAGAATAATGTGGCTAACCAGGAAATGTGGTTGTTCCTGAGCTATGCAAAACAAAATCAAGCCAATTAAAAATCTAGACAACATCTACAAACATAGTAAGGTAAATGCAAAGAAGATGGTGAACATTACATCTTGATTTATAAAAATGGATGAACACAATTTGTAAGGAGAAAAAAATCTTGAGATATTTAAAAATCCTGAGGTATAATTTATATAATATACCAAGGACATACCAAGAATATCAACTCAGGAGATTCAGTAAGTCTGGAGTATGTCCTACACATGTGTATTTTATGTATTTAAGTAACCTCCACACCCAGCGTGGGGCTCAAACTCCCAACCTCGAGATCAAGAGTCACACAGTCTTCCTACTAAGCCAGCCAGGTGCCCCTACACCTCTGTATTTTAATAAAACTCCCTAGGAAATCTGATGTACATCACGAGTTGAAAACCACTGACCTAGAAGGTGTTCGATTCAAATTAAAGAAGTAAGGTTGCAGCCCAGGTAACATTTTAAATCAGAACTGAAATCGTGACTGGTCGCCCTGTATTGTTATCATCAGACAGCACCTCCGGGGCGCTGATTCCTGGGAGCAGATCATGGACCCAGAGGGCACTGAGAAATCTGGAGGAACTGCTCATGTAGCATACAATTTGTGAAATATTTATGTAAATAATAACATTTTACCTTTAGAAATTTAACCTAGACGAGGCTGAGTGTCTCTTCTGATTTCACAATTATTTCCATGCAGTTGGTCAATAGCAACATATCAAATAAAACTAATTATTTGCAGCACCTCTCTTTTTAAAAAGTGAAAAAACAAATTTTCCAGGGGCCCTCTTGGACATCTCATTGATAATTCTAGGTATAAAAGATGTCCAGAAAGTTTTATTTTATTTTGCATTTAGGACTTGATTTTGGGAAGGCAAAAATTCAAAAGTTATTAGGACATTTGTATGCTTATCATGAGTGCCTAAGAAACTGTTCTTGTCTACCCATTTGAAAGTGACGATAGTTCATTAAAAAATAAACATGGAAGGTAACATTGTAAAGAAACTTAGCTGTTTCCTAAAAATGTTTGTTTTAAAAAGTATGGAAAATTTTTCTGTAAGACACCAGATTTTTGCGATCTAGGCAGATTACCCACGAGGTAAAAGAATAACATTTTACAAGCTCTCTTTAGGAGCAGACCAATAACCAACATTCAAGAAAATTTTGTCACTTTTACAGAGAGAAAACCAAACTCTACTCTCACATCGATATATTTGATACTAAAGGAACCACAGCCTCTTTTTGAAAATAATATGAATAAATGAAAACTGAACCAGATTTGGACAAAACTTTAACATAATTATTTATTTTCAGACTCATTATTTGCACATACTATCATCCAAAGCAAATCAAATTCTCTTTTCACAAGCCTTTTATAAATTTATCCATTCAGGTTTTGTCCTTTATTGTCCTCTTTCTTATTCTGGAATGACCAGTCATTTTACTTTAGGATAAAACTTCTCTTTTTCTCTTCTTAATAATAATAAAAAAATCTCATCACTGTGTATGCCAAATTGTACGTGTCTGCCACTATTATTCCTAATAGAGTTTCATTCATATATATTAATTGTACCCTTTAACCAGAGTAACTTCTCTTTTAGAGAAAGTAGGGTTGGGGAGGGTAGGTAAGTAGAAACAGCCTGTCCCATACCAGCATTTTAGAAGAGCTCATGGATACACCTGACACAGCTTTCCACAACCACACATGTCATTTAAAGGATGACGCACACTTTTTTTTTTTAAACATTTTATTTATTTGACAGAGAGAGAGAGACAGCCAGAGGGAACATAAGCAGGGGGAGCGGGAGAGGGAGAAGCAGGCTTCCCGCTGAGCAGGGAGCCCGATGTGGGGCTCGATCCCAGGACCCCGGGATCATGACCTGAGCTGAAGGCAGACACTTAACGACTGAGCCACCCAGGCGCCCCTGACGCATACTTTTTAAAGTATCACTCCAATTATGTACTGTGTTCTCCAACATCTCTCAGATTTAAGACAGATCTGGATTGAAACCCTCTCACCACTGTATGCCTTGTGCAGTTAACTTCTC